TGATGCTCATTTCTGTGTCAGTGGGTGTTATCGTAAGCGCAACCCTCTTTGCTTGTCGGAACGTATTTGGCTATGTTTTTAGCAATGAGAAGGAAGTGGTGTACTATGTTGCAGATATTGCCCCTCTCCTCTGTCTCTCAGTCATACTTGATAGCCTTCAAGGGACCCTTTCAGGTACAAACTACACTCAAATGAATCTGTTTATCCCTGTTGTGAAAAAAACTGTTGGGTAATTTCTGAATTGTGATATATATTTGAGGGTTTTGTAGGGATTAGTCTATTCACTCTATTGTGATACAATATGCAAGGATGAAAATATCCCGATATTTACATCGAAATTTCATATTTTAGGGTCACCTATAACTATGACATTCATTTCGCATCATTAAGTTATTTAACCAAATTATGTCATTTATTTGGCATCGCAAGTTATTTAACCATTTTAGATTGTCTTAGATTTTCCATAACAAACACTCATATATATTATATATATACATACATATAAAATTTGGAATTAATCACACACCATGCATTGCACGGGTATTGTACTAGTATATTGAATAATACCAAACATTTCAATAGCTATAGGAACCCAAAAACGTTAGTGATATCATTCTCTTTTTCACAAAAAAAAACAAAAAAAAACTTGCAAAACATTGTTTTTCCCTCCAAAAATTGTTCGATATCAATTTCGAAATATCGTATAATTCATTCATAAATTCAAAGTACCCATTAGATCCATGAATACGATATTATTGTTGCATATATATGCATATATACATTTAAGATATTATAAAATTGCATGATCCCCCTCCTCTCCAACTATTATTATTGTTACTAATTATTATGATTATTAATAATAAATTGAAAGATTAAAATATTATTTATCCAAAGTTCCAAACCTTCCATCGAAAAAAATACTAGAGGTATTTTATAGTTGCGTGTTTCCAGTCACACCACTCAAAGAAAGAATTACCAAACAGAGTTTTGAGGGTAAGCAAAAACACAGTGGCTTAAAAGTCACTACTATGCCAAACACCCTAACTATTGATCTCCTCTAACCAGTCTGGGACCCTGGGTTGTGTGCCCATAAGGGTTAATATTTTTGTATACCACTCGTCTAACATTACTTACTCATATCACCCCCTAGACGGGAATGAATACAAATTCATGTGATCAAATGGTGATATATATATATATATAATAGGTGTTGCTAGAGGATGTGGGTTGCAGCATATAGGAGCTTTAGTCAACCTAGCTTCATTCTATCTATTTGGAATTCCAATTGCTGCATCACTGGCTTTCTGGTTTCACGTGAGAGGAAAGGGTCTTTGGGTTGGAATCATGTGTGGTAGCGCTATGCAAACGGTTATGCTATCAATAATAACAAGTTGCACAAATTGGAACAAACAGGTACGTAGTGGCAACCTTAATTAGCCTAAACCATGAAAATGAGGTTGTGGGATAATAAAGATTGGTGTACATTCTTGTGGTGCATCCTTTCCATAAATTCCTATGTGGCTTACATCATTTGGATGATGTGAAGTTCTCTAACTTTTCATTATCCAAAACATTCATGCCACATTAAAATGTATCTATATATATAGTGTACCAAAACATGTCTATTTAGTTTTGCTCAATATATTCTGGTTTTTAGTGTTGTCGCGCGCTGACGTTTCATATAATATTTTGGTGGGTTGGTTTGCCTTTGCAGGCGGCTAAGGCAAGGGGAAGACTTCTTCAGTAAAAGTAGTATCTTGATGAGGCACCCAAGTGGATGAGAAGTTAATTATCTATTTAGTTTTGAGTTCCATTTTTTCTTGTCATTTTCGTTTTTATCTAATTGAAGACCACTTCTACTGTTCTACATGTACAATGCCCCCCATGAAGGAGCAAGCAATTCTCTTGTCTCAATTTGATCATTCCCCCTACTAATATATGATGTTTAACAATGAATCTTTTCAAGTGTTAAAAAGAGAAGTCTCTACATTTGGTTTGGATTTAAAAAAAAAATATACTCCCTCTGGTTTTTAATAAACTTCACACTTTCATTTTTGGGACGGTCTAAAATAAACTTCACACTTCCTTATTTCCTTTTTTGGCAAAGAAATCTACATCAAAACAGTGCCAAACAGTGTCTCAACAGTGCCAAACAGTGTCACTACAGTGCCAAACAGTGTCAAACAGTGCCTCAACAGTGTACTTTACACCGTTGTTGAAAGTCAATAATTGAAAGTCAATTTTTTTAGGCACAATAATAAATTGACTCAATAATAAATTGAAAGTCAAATTTTTTTCCTTATTTTGTGTGAAGTCAAACTGTGAAGATTAAAAAAAACCGGAGGTAGTATGACATAGAATATTAAAAGCAAATTTGAGTTGATAATAATACCAAATTTAAACATCTCATTTTCCTAGGCCACAACAACAAGTAAATTGTCTTTTTCAAAGAGTTTGAATGCGATTGAATCAAATTATTAATGAAATTGGGGTGCACTAATTATTAATTGTGTTAAAATCATAATATCCCATGTGAAGTTATTGAAGAGATGGATTGGGTTCTAGTTGAGGCCAGGGTGGGACATAGGCTTCGAAACAACTCGTGTTTGATTTGATTCAAATCCAGATCAAAATGATCCTCGCTCCGTCGCTCGTTCCCATGAATATCGACATACTCCAGTCTCGCAGAATAAGACTTGTCTCAAACTAGTTCATAGAATCCTCTAGCCTCATGTGAGGAGACTTATTTGAGGAAAGAACATACTAGAAATAGCATATTTAGGCCTAATTTGAAGGAGTTTGACTCAAAAGTATCTCATTAATGGTAATGATTTTTTGTTGATGGTACCGACTCCTTGTTCGAAATCGTTTGTCCAATCAGCTTGACTTCTAGCTAAAAGCTAGATAGTATATATTCTTTTTTTGCTACAATTAACTCACCTGTGACTGACAAGGAATTACTTCAGACCACTCTTATGGGTTTGGGACCGGAGTATGAGTCAACTGTTGGAACTATTTCCCTCTTCCTTGAGAACTTTCCACCTCACATTCTTCATCTGAGGCTTTTAGAGAAGGAGCAGCGGGTTCTTTTCCTTCGTCAACAGGAGGCTGCTCCTATTTATCAGGCATTTGGAGCACAGACGGGAGTTGCCGCACCCCGTGGCCGCGGCAGAGGTCGTCCTTACCAGCTAGGGCAATCGCAGGGGCATCCCACTCACGGCCAGGGATACGGCCAGTAGCCCGGGCAGCCTACATCGACCAGACCTACTAAAGAGGTGTTATGGATAATTCTGTTTTGTACATTTTAAAAGTTAATGCTATATCATTCTATGGTACTAATGTTAAATTTGCCGACCCTCCATCATACATGAGGGAATTCTTGGGGCAATACCCCTACCAGTTGTGTGTCAAATATGTTTCTCTGCAGGTCATTCTGCCCTTCATTGTCCTTGTTTTCTCAACCGTCTGCACTTGCTATTCTCACTGGTCAAGCTAATGAAACCATGTGGTCCAGATTCTAGTGCCTCTGCTCACATGACTCCATCTCATGGTATTTTAACTAATAAGTTTACTTGTGTTGCCCAAGTATTGTAATTAGTGTTGCTAATAATGTTCATCTTCTCATTAAACATGTTGGTAATGTTTCTTTAAAATCCTCGAGCTTCCCGCTAATGTTAAAATTTGTTTATCATGTGCCTAATATTAAATTTAATTTCTATTTAAAAATTGTGTGCTGATAACAACTGTAGGTGTTGCTATTTTTGACAAGAATTTCTTTTTTTTTGTTAAGGACGACAAAACTTCGGGGGCGGTTCTTCTTCGAGAAACAACTAATGGCAATCTCTACCCTCTTAGCCCGAGTCCACCTTCCAGCCTAGCTTTATCCTCGGTCATCACCACTGGCCCTGTGTGGCATCGTAGATTATGTCATTGTGGTGAAAATATTTTATGTATCTGATGCACTTAAAAACATATATGTACTAGTTCTATTTTTGCTCATGAATGCACTTCATGCCGATTAGGCAAGTCACAATGATTACCCTTTGTAGATGCTAATCATAAATCTTCTGCTCTTTTACATTTAAAACATTCTGATGTGTAGCAATCTCTTATTCTTTCCAACATAGGTTTTAAATACTATGTGTGTTTTATTTATGACTTTTCTTGCTTTACTTGGATATATCCTATGCGTGCTAAAACAGATGTTTTTGATCATTTTACAAATTTTAAGGTTTTAGTTGAAAATCTTTTTAACCCTAATACTATTTTTTTTTTTCAAATTGATGCAGGGGGTGAATATGTTAATTTTAATATGCAACATTGTTTTAATATTTGTTTATATTTCTATTATATCTATTTATTTTTTATGTTTTTATATTTTATACATTGAATTTATCACAATGTTGAAACATTTTTGTGATTGGGACTTATTTGAACCATGCATGAGCAGATGCACCCTTTTATGAGTGAGGGCACTTGCCTCCAATAACATTTGGTTTTTTAGCTAATTTTTTTATGCATTTTGTCAATTAATCACTTGTGCCACCAACAAAAAATAAGATTGCCCCCTTTAAATACTCCATAACCATTTCAAATGCAAAAGCTGTAAAGGATATTCAATTCTCTAAACAGGATTCAAATATATATGTATATATATATATATATATATATATATATATATATACACACACATATAGAGAGAGAGAGAGAGAGAGAGAGAGGACTTTTCATGTCCAGCCGGCATGACGGGAACCGCCGTCCGGACAAGGGCATTTCGGGCACTTCCCGGTGGCATTTTTTGATAAATTGTTTGGAGCATGTTCTTCATGAAGTCTAGTTTATCCATACCAAATTTCAGCTAAAAATTCAATCGAGAAGGCACTCAAATAATTTCTTGAAGTTAACTGGGCAGTTCATACATATAAACTGCCCAGTTAACTTCACAAAATTATTTAAATGCCTTCCCGATCGAATTTAGAGCTGAAATTTGGTATGGATAAACTAGACTTCATGAAGAACATGCTCAAACAATTTCATCAACAAATTCCATCGGGAAGTGTCCGAAAATCCCTCGGCCGGACGGCGGTTCCCGTCAGGCCGGCTGGACAAGAAGACTACTCTCTCTCTCTCTCTCTCTCTCTCTCTCTATATATATATATATATATATATAAACTCAAATAAAAGTATCAAATTTGTTTCTTAAAATAAGACTTATGCATTCATATTTAGAAAAGTTTTTTTTATTCTTTTTAGAGTATTAAATAAGTGTTCTTTTATGAACAAAACATATTTAATCCTATTTTAAAATTTTATTTAAATTTAGTCTTATTTTGAGCAATTTTTTTAAATGAATGTTATAACTTGCACCTCTTAAAATTAATGTATATATGTTGTCATTTCAATCTTTTATAATTTTAATGAGTCCGTTTGGTGACCTTGTTTTCCAGTTTATCAGCCACTTTTTTTGTACCAAACACATTAATTTCGACTTCACGCGCTAACTTGTGTTATAATCAAAATAAATAAGGCATAACTTACTTTATTGGCTGAATTGGCTGAGGTTATTGCAGATGAGCATTTTACTTATTTTTTATACTACATACTATCTATGATTTTTGCGTTATTTTATTAATACGATATATTTTAAAACAATTTCTTCATAATTCTGCAAAATCAACCAATGCAATCATTTCAGCCAAAACTTTACAAACTTTAGTGAGATCTATCGATTTAGTCAATTTAGGAAAAATTCACAAGAATAATCCTAACTATTTACAGTCTTCCAATATTAATCCCAAATATGAATAATTCTAAAATAATCTATCATTCGGTGGATATCTTCTCAAAATAAACCCATAACCTGAACAAAAATATTCAAACAGTCATCTGATGACATGTCTTAATTTAATTCGGCCTCACTTGTTTTTATTTTATTTTTCATTTTTCCTCTCTCTTTATTTTTCTTTTCTTTCACATACCCCTTCTTTCTTCCTTCCCTTTTCACTCGATCTCCTCTGCTCTTTGTCCCCTTCTTCCTAAATTCTTCCATGGATTCATGTTCCCGTCTCCTCTTTTTCCTTCGAATTTTTGTACAAGTTCTCATCCGGCCGCCAGCCTCCTCTTTTTGGATTTTTTTTTTCGAAAATTCTAAATGAATCTTCTGGAGAAATTTAATATGACCAATTTCACGTTTCTGCTTCCCGAATATGCAGTCCTCGCATAAGCCAATCTCAACAGTCTTCAGGCCGGGCAGATTGCCCTTCGAGCACAGCTCCTTCATCCCCTTTTCGCTCATGTGACCGAGCCGACAGTGCCATAAATTCACATCGTTTGTTGCAACAGCAGCAACATCGATGCAGTCCTTTGAGTTCGTTGTCATGTACAACGTACCCTCCTTCTTCCCTTTAGCAACCAACAAGGCTCCCTTGGTGATCCTCCAATTTTTGCTGCCGAATGTAACTGCATAACCTTCCTCATCTAGCTGCCCAATTGAAAGAAGATTCCTCCTCAAACCAGGAATGTGTCGGACGCCATTCAATTTCAGCATGCATCTGTTCGGAGTCTTCACGTGGACTGTCCCCTTCTCGACAATTATAAGCGGCTCATCATCAGCAAGATACACCTCTCCAAAATTGCCAGGAGTATACTGTTCCATCACTTCAGAATTACCACATGAATGGAACGAGGCTCCAGAATCCAGAACCCATGACTCCAACGGACTGCTCACGCTCAGGGTCAGGAGATCATCACCTGATGATTCTGCCGCTGCATTGGCAGATGTTTTCTCCTTCTGATCCTTGATCTGCTCCTTGCACTGGCTCTTAAAGTGTCCGTACTCCTCACAATTCCAGCACTTGATCTGACTTCTGTCCTTCTTGCCCTTGCTGTTTGACTTGGATTTGGATCTTGATCTATCCCGATTTGACTTGGACTTCGACTTCGTTCTGCCCCGGTTCTCTGTACTCAACGCCGATCCAGAAGCCAGGCCTGATTCCTTCCTGCGAATTTCTTCGCTGACCACCAGATTTTTGACTCCATCGAATTTCAGTTTCTCTTTCCCTGCCGAAGCGCTGACTGCAGTCACTGTTCCGTTCCAGCTTTCTGGGAGAGAAGACAGCAGAATAAGGGCATGAATTTCGTCGTCGAATTTTATCTCAACCGTGCTCAACTGTGTGGTGATCACATTGAACTCGTTGAGATGATCCACCACTCCCGTACCTTCTGACATCTTCAGGTTAAAAAGACGTCTCATCAGATAGACTTTGTTCACAGCGGAAGGTTTCTCGTACATATCCGACAAAATCTGCAACATCTCCTTCGTTGTTTTTGCTTTGACGGTGTGTAGGGCGATGTTTCTAGACAACGATAATCGAACCACGCTCATCGCTTTTCTGTCCAGCAACTTCCAATCGCTCTCCTTCATGGCTTTCGGCTTATCATCCAGAGGTTGATACAGATCTTTACCGTACAGGTAATCTTCGATCTGCAACTAGGATGTGTTTCCTAAAATAAATTAAGAAACGTGTTTCCAAAAATAAATTAAGAAACTGTCTCTAACACCTTACAGGAGGGAGTATATATTAAAAATGAAAAGTGAATATAAATACAAAGTGTATATATGTGTGTGTGTGTGTGTGTTGTTTGATGTTCGGTTTACGGTTTTTCCGTTTTAAACCAAACCAAACCAAAGTACCAAACCATTCGGTTTGAGCAAATTTTTACCAAACGGTTTACTTAAGTAAACCCAAACCAAACCACCAATTTTAATAATATATGAAAGTTTTTTTGAGTTTCTTTAGTTCGGTTCGGTTTTGTTTGGTTTTTATCGGTTTTGGTTTGGTTCGGTTTAATACGGTTTGAAAGAAATAGTAGCAAACTCAAACCAAATTGCATATGGTCCGGTTTCATTTCGGTTTAGTTCGGTTTGGTAAGGTTCGGTTCGGTTCGGTTAAACCAAACCGTTATGCCCACCCCTAGTGCCATCGATGCATCTGAGGGGTTTTGGCGATGTAATGACGAAGAAGGGCCAACCGGCCAACATAAGTGTATATAGACTAAGGGAGTGTTTGCGATTGCTTCAACTTTAAAAAAGTGATTTTTTAAAGTGATTGTAGAGAAGGTGATTTGTAGTGAAAGTTGGTAGTGTTTTAAAATAGAAGTGATTCTAATAAAAAAGTTAAAGTTGAAGTGTTTGGGAAAAAAGTGATTTTTGATAACATTTTCTTAAATATGAAGTAATATTTTCTAAAATTACAAATATGACCTTAAATAACATGCTTCCTCTACGGATCATTCTTTCAGAACTTGTGTTTGCTGCTAAATCAATTCTTTCGGCCATGGCACCTAAACCTTGAAGATAACTTCCGCGTAAGGGGGAGAAGACTCCAATAAACGGCCGAGAGTCTATAAGAGCAAAAGGTGATTCAATCGGGCACCACTGGCCATATGCTTCCCTCAGATTTCCCGCCGCCGGCCATATGCTTCCCTCAGATTTTCTGCCGCCGGCCATATGCTCCCCTCAGATTTTCCGCCGCCGGCCATATGCTTCCCTCAGATTTCCCGCCGCCAGCCATATGCTTCCCTCAGATTTCCCTAATCCAAATCTGGGAGTTCTCACCTCCGTCTTCATCAGTGAATATACATATATACGGAGTATATATAAGACTGACTTGTTAAGAAATATATACATAGATGTGATACAAAGTGGATGACTTCCACTTTGGCCTTGTCAACCTCTATCCCTTTGGATGAGATCACATGGCCTAGTACAATTCCTTCCTCCACCATAAAGTGGCATTTTTCAGAATTCAAAACAAGGTTTGATTCTAAACAACTTTTGAGCACAAGAGATAGATGGCATAAGCAAGAATCAAATGAGTCTCCATGGATTGTGAAATCATCCATGAAAACCTCCATGAAAAGCTCAACGTATTAAGAGAATATGCTCATCATGCATCTTTGAAAGGTGGCCGGTGCGTTGCAAAGTCCAAAGGGCATACGTCGGTAGGCAAAAGTGCCAAATGGACAAGTAAATGTTGTTTTTTCTTGATCTTCAGGGGCTATGGGCACTTGAAAATACCCGGAATAGCCATCAAGGAAGCAATAGAATTTGTGCCCCACAAGTCTTTAAAGCATTTGATCAATGAAGGGTAAAGGAAAGAAATCCTTTCTAGTTACCGCGTTGAGTCGACGGTAATCTATACATACCCTCCATCCATTTTGAATTCGGGTGGGCATAAGTTCTCCATCTTTGTTCTCGACCACCGTGACTCCGGTCTTTTTTGGAACAACTTGGATTGGACTAACCCATTTGCTATCGGAAATGGGGAAGATTATCCCCATTTGGAGTAGTTTGATGACTTCCTTTTTGACCACCTCCATCATAGGTGGGTTCAATCTCCTTTGCGGTTGGCGCACCGGTTTTGCTTCATCCTCCATCAAGATGCGGTGCATGCATGTAGATGGACTAATGCCTTTGATGTCGGCTATAGTCCATCCAATTGCAAGTTTGTGCTCTTTGAGCACCACAATCAGCTTCTCTTCTTGCTCTTGGGTTAGTTTATTGGAAATTATGACCGGCAAGGTCTCTTTTTCTCCCAAGAACACATATTTGAAATGTGTTGGGAGTGGTTTCATCTCAACTTCGGGAGCCTGCAAAATAGAAGACAAAGGCTTCTCTTCGGGGATGGTTAGTGGAAATGCTCTTGACCCCGGTGGCATAAGTGGGAGTTGGAAATGATTATCCAATTCCACCATCATTGCTTGTATGTTGGGGGTCAAGGTAAGTTCTATAGAGTTTTCCCCGAAGTCATTCTCCATCACACTTAACAATTCATCCTCCCCATTTATTTCAAAAGTGTTTTGCACAAGAGGATCAATAATATGAATGGCAAATAGAGAATGATTTTCATTTGGATACTTCATGAAGTCATAAATGTTAAATTCAACTTTATCTCCATCAAATTCCATCGTTAAAGATCCGCTAAAGACATCAATTTTTGCTCTAGTGGTCTTTAAAAATGGCCTTCCTAAAAGGATAGGAACCGCATTCTTATCATTTTCCATTTCCAAAACATAAAAGTCGACGGGAAAGATTAAATTGTCTACCATAACTAGTACGTCTTCGACAATACCTTTAGGGTAAGCATTTGATCTATCCGCAAGTTGATTGACTACTCCGGTTTCATTTAGAGGGCCAAGTTCAAGTGATTTATACAAAGAGTAAGGGATGACATTAATTGACGCTCCCAAATCTAGCATGGCCTTTGAAAACGTAGTACCTCCCAACTTAAAAGGTATAGTGAACATGCTCGGGTCATTGTATTTCTTTGGAAGTTTCTTTTGAAAAACAGCCGAAACACGTTCACTAACTTGGACTTTTTGTTTTCCATTGAGTCTATGTTTCCTTTTTATTGTGCATAATTCTTTGAAAAATTTTGCAAATCGAGGGACACCTTTTATCAAGTTAAGGAGAGGAATATTTACCTCGCATTTGGAGAATGTTTCATAGATGTCTTTATCTTTCTCCACCCTTCGCGTTTCCCTTAGAGCTTCGGGAAACGGAGCTTCCACTTCATGAATGACCGGGGGTGGGGTTGAAATGTGAGTTTCCTCCTCCTCCGGTTGAGCTTTGTCCACAAGCTCCTCTTCATTTTCCTCGCCAATGTGGCTTCTCGCTTTCTCCTTGGCAATGACTAATTCCTTGCCACTCCTCAATGTTACCGCATGGGCTTGTTGCCTAGGGTTCGGCTCCGTTTGAGATGGAAGTTTTGCCGAATCCCTAGCTTCAAGTCTACTAACCGCACTTGAGATTTGGCCCATTTGGGTCTCAAGGTTTTGGATGCTAGATTTGGTCTCATGCTGAAATTGAACCATGTTTTGTTGCATGGTTGAGACATTTGAGGTGAGTGCTCGGATCATGTCTTCGGTGGACATATTCGAGCTTTGACCTTGGGGTTTAGAGTATGGTTGCTTTTGAGGAAATTGGTTTTGTGGAGGGTTATTTTGTGGTGGGTTTCCTTGCGGATTCCCATATCTCAAATTGGGGTGATCTCTAAACCCAGGATGATAAGTATTGCCATAAGAATCGTACCTCTTTTGGTTTGGGAACCCCAAAGTGTTGACTTGCTCAGAGTTGTCTTCTTGAAGGGTAGGGCATGAGTCGGTGGGGTGCCCTTGTTGTGTACATATGCCGCAGACTTTGACTTCTTGGGCTTTGGCATTTAAAAGAAAATATTTGACCAAAGAAGTCAAACCGGTCATTTGACTCTCCAACGAGGTGTTGGATTCTGCCGCCATTACTCGCTTGGAGGATGACCTCCCGTTGTGATATCTACAATTCTCGGCCAATTCTTAGATAAGATTCATAGCTTGAGAAGGAGTTTTGTTGACAATTCCTCCTCCACATGCGGCGTTGATCATTCGCCTATCATCATTGCAAAGACCATCATAAAAATACAGGATGAGGTCTTTCTCTGAATAGCCGTGGTATGGACAGCTTGCACAAAGTTTCTTGAATCGTTCCCAATATTCGTAGAACGATTCATCATCATTTTGCTCCACATTGCTGATTTGCTTTTTGAGAGATGAGGAGACAGAGGCGGGATAGTACCTTTCAAGGAAAGCTTTCTTCATTGCCTCCCATGTATCTATACTTCCCGCAGGAAGATAGAATAGCCAATCCTTTGCGGTGTCTTTGAGTGAAAATGGAAAAGCCCGCAGTTTAATTTGCTCCTCGGTGACTCCATTAGGACACATGCTCGTGCATACGACATGGAACTCCGAGAGGTGTTTGTTTGGGTCTTCTCCTCTTAGACCGTGGAAGGATGGTAAAAGATGAACGAGCCCAGATTTTAGCTCAAATGTATTACCCTCGTTGAGTGTAGGGAAGGTAATACATAACAATTGTTGATTCAAGTTTGGAGCTGTGAGCTCCCTCAAAGTTCGTGTTTCTTGAGCCATAGTGATTGGCTCTTCAGATTCGCTAGAGCTGGAGCTAGCACTTGATGATTCCTCCGAAGAAGTATTCGGAAATAAATTCCTAAACCTCTCGAAGGCTTGTTCTGCTTCGGGATTTGTTTGGTAGGTGATTTGGTTTATAGATCGGTGTTTAACCATATACTCAAACAAAGCTTAGAAATAGAAAAATAAGAACTCTTTATATTTTTGTTAATTTTTTTTCTTGAAATAAAGTAAAAAGAAAAATAATTGTCTTTCCCCAGCAACGGCGCCAAATTTGACGTGCACTTTGTCGTGGTGTGCACTCAAAATAATAATACAATACAACAATTATACGTAGTATAATGAAGTAAGGTTCGTATCCGCAGGGAAAGGAATACTTCTCTTTTTATAAACTAGTAACAAAGGGGGTTTTAGATTGAGTGAATGAACTTAAATTATATTTAAACACAAAGATGAACGAGTTATGTGGTTTAATTAATGAGAAGAAGACTTGGCTTTGCTTTTATCCACTTAATGAAATGTTCGTCGATCCCGATTATATCTTTAACTATCTTCCTCTCGAATACTCAATCGAGGAGTATATCCAGTTCATCGAGGGTAGTTATTAATAACGAGACACGTTCATTAATAAAACTTACTACCGAGTTAATATAGAACACGCGCCATATATTTTATCGATAGTAGCAATAAAATAGAGATGAAAACGATTGAGATTGATAACCTCAACACAAGCGGTTTATCGGTTTAATCAATATAATTAATTCCCCTTAGGTTATTAACCATGAGACGCATGCATTAACAACCCAAGTTCACTACCGTGAAAGGATCGAATTAATAACAAGCGTATTAATCGACCGATTCTAGTATTAATTAATATATGAAACAAAACTAGTTGATCCTTTAAGTAATGCTCAAAATATTAATATGTAATAGGAATAGGAATTAGTTAATATTCAAGGAAGAAGATTAAAGAAAATAACTCACAACTTACAATTCATTAAGCTTCAAAGTAGCAAAACCAAGATGGAAGAGTTTAGCTCCTCATTTGGAGACTAAACATGATGAAAAAAATAAAGAAAGAACTTGTTTAAACTGAGCTAAGAAGTATATGTGAATTGATATCTAATTGTGAAGGAAAGGGGGTGTATTTATAGGCTTTTTTGGGGTGCAGGTCGGGTACTCGATCGAGTATATACATGTACTCGATCGAGTATGTGTAGAAACCTGAATTCGATCCATACTCGATCGAAATTAGAGTAAAATTTAGAGCTATACCCGATCGAGTATGTCGGTGTACCCGATCGGGTATAGACACTCGATCGTGATCAAAATCTTCCCTGCATGTTCTTTTGTTTTCGGATCTGATCCGATTTGAAATTTCAACAAGATACCCGATCGAGTATAGGTGATACTCGACCGGGTATAGACCAAAAAATCAGGAACAATTCTTTGTCTTGTGATTTTGCACCTTCCTTCCACTTTTGGGGTTCACCAACTGTCCTTTGAGTGATAGTAGACCTGCTTGAGCTCAGAATAAACCTAATCTAAACAATTTACAAGAATTTAACAAACTAAACTATTACACCAAAAGTGTGTAATTTCCGAAATATTAAACAACCAAAACTAACTAAAAACGTAAACAAACACACGGAAATTACAAGCGTATCACTTACCTCTTCATCTTTTCCTACCACCAATCTTCCATTCTTCAGTAATCTGTCTTCCTTCCATTCATATGGAGCATGTGCATTACTACTAATCTTAAGATCAGCAATGATTTCAGGTAACTCCCCTAATTCCCAAGTGCCTTTTACCCTTCCCATTAAATCAGAGTTTACCTCTGCCACTATCATTTGTAATAATGATCCACTTTCAATTCTGGACAAGGCATCTGCTGCCAAGTTCTCTTTGCCCTTTCTGTACATAATTTCATAATCTAAGCCCATCAACTTAGGCAGGCATTTACTTTGAAAAGGTGTGGTAATCTTCTGCTCCAGCCAGTATTTAAGACTGAAATGATCAGTCTTAATAATAAAGTGTTGACCCACTAGGTATGCTCTCCATTTATTAACTGCCAAGATAACTGCTAATAACTCCTTTTCATAAGTAGAAAATGCCTTATGCTTCTCAGATAGGGCTTTACTTAAGAAGGCAATGGGGTGTTGATTTTGGGATAACACTACTCCAATTCCCAAATCAGATGCATTCGTCTCTATTTCAAAAGGAATATGAAAATTAGGAAGAGCAAGAACTGGAGCTTGACTCATAGCTTCTTTTAAGCTATTAAATGCGACTTCAAATTCTGTTCCCCACAGAAATGCATTCTTCTTCAGGAGATTTTTTAAGGGCTTGCTCAAAAGTCCATAATTCTTAATGAACTTCCTGTAGTATCCCGTAAGTCCCAAGAAACCCTTGAGTGCCTTGATGTTCTTTGGGCTGGGCCAGTTTACCATGGCAGTGATTTTGTCCGGATCAGTTGCTACCCCATTCTTATTTGCCAGTATCCTTACCCTAGATCAATTTTGGAGAAGACCATGGACCCATGCAATTCATCAAGGAGTTCCTCAATGATTGGAATGGGAAATTTATCCTTGATAGTGTGTTTGTTCAGCTCCCTATAATCAACACAGAATCTCCAAGTCCCGTCTTTCTTCTTTATCATAACAACTGGGGCAGAATATGGGCTTTGGCTATGCCTAATGATTCCCAAGTGCAACATCTCTTGAGTAATCTCTTCAATAGCATTTTTCTGTATGACAGGTACCTATAAGGCCTGACATTGATGGGAGCAGTTCCTGGTTTAAGGTGTATTTGATGATCATGTTCTCTATGAGGGGGCAATTGTTTTGGTTCATCAAATATCTCCTTAAACTCCTCCAATATCTCATGTATTATTGCAGGTGTTTTTGTATTCATATCCCTATCAGAATGTTCTCTTGGGTGTATATGCATCACAAAGAGTTGTCCTCCTGTTTGATTCCAAGATTTTCTCATCTCCTTATTCATCTGTTCTCCTTGAATTAATTGTAACCTGCCCTTGTTACTGCCTCTTAACACCACCTTCTTATTGAGATATTTGAACTCCATAATTAAGTCCTTGAAGTTCCAGTTGATCTGGCCCAATGAAGCTAACCATTGTATGCCTAGTACCATTTCACAGCCTCCCAAAGGTACTACCATAACATCCATTTTGAATTCATGATTATGAATCTTCCAATGGAAGTTATAGCAAGTCTGGTTGCTAACTAATTTTTCACCATTAGCAACAGAAATTTCCAAAAGGGCAGACTTAGATATTTTACAGCCCAGTCTTCTAGCCGTGTGGAAATCCAAAAAATTATGGGTACTCCCGGAGTCAATCAGGATGTATAGATCATTGTTTTTGAACCTTCCAGTAGCTCTCATAGTTTGGTATTGAGGTTGTCCAGTTATAGCATTTAAGGAAATGAGAGGCTGCATGTCCAATTCTTCTAAACTATCCTCCTGTTTCTTTCAAATTGAAGGATTTCATCTTCTTCTTCTTCCTTCCCCCGTGTTCCTTCACCATTATCTTCAGAGCCAATAGGAAGGATTTGCAATTTGTACAATTGGGCTTTGCAAGTATGACCAGGATGATAGTGTTCATCACAAAAAATAGAGATTTTTCCTTCTTCTTTCCTCAATATCAATTGTGTTCATCCGTTTTCTTTCATTAACATTGGTGTTTCCAGACAACTTGGATTCAATTGGTACTCTGGACAGAACCCCTTTATTACCTGTATAGGGTATGCTTCTAAGAGGTTGGAGACCCCTATTCTCATGATTCTTATACACAGGTCTATCATGATCAATTTTGCCCAATTTCTTCAAAGCCTCCAAGCTATTTTCCTGTAAACGAGCATATTCCATGGCCTGAAGCACAATTCTAGGTTTGAAAGCTTTTAAGAAATGTTTAATAGTTGGATTAAGTCCACCGATGAAAATGTCCAAACAAGTCTTCAGGCAACCTATCTGCTCTTTGTAATAACAGCCCTCTGAGTTGTTCAAAGGAGTCCATATATTCGTCCAAGGATTTCAATTGTTGAAGTTTCTTGAAATCTTCAACTATGGGACTCCCTAATTCTTCATTGAATCTCGCACATATATCTATGACAAATTGCTCCCAAGACACCCTTCCATGAACATATATATATATAGCTATTGTACCAAGGTTCAGCCCTTCCCGTAAGGTATGAAGAAGCCATATCAACTTTTTGAGCATTCTCAATTGCACATAATTCAAAATATTTCACACACTTCTCGATCTAACTTCTAGGGTTACTACCAGAGAAATTAGGAAACTCAATTTTTGGAAGAAATCCAAAGCTTCAGTTATGATTACCTGAGTTTGAGAATGAATTTCCATGTGCTGTTTGAATCACCGGTGAGCTGTGTACTGATTGGTGATTTATCTCTTCGTTCCTCTTTTGCAGAAGCACCAACAGTGCATCTAACTTCTGGTTTGTCTCAGAGAATTTCTCTTCATTCTGTTTGATCTGTTCTTCAAGTAGACGTTCCAGACCGCGGACTTTATCTTCCATCATCGCTAAAAGCGTAGCAACAGTGACTTTCTTCGCTAGGATTCTGATAGATGTAACTCGTAGAACTGTGTTCGTTGATGGAGTTAAAGCTGAAAATGGAGCTCCGATACCAATTGTAACGCTCTAGGAATTTAGATTCGAAGAACGAACAAAACGTAGGAATTTTTAGGATAGAAAAGAATTCGAACAAGATAAGAAATGAGTAGTTTCAAAGATGGAGAATCAATATTGAGAGCTGAATATCTTTCTTATTACAAGTATACGCATATATTCTGAGCCACTAAACAACTTCAACGAATTAGTTTTAACTAACTCAACTAATTCGTATTATACGTATATACAAGCCTATACGTCCTATTACTGTAGCTGACGTAATACACACATATAAGCTTCAAGTCCAGGTGTATAACAGGGGTTTCCATATTTTGGTTTACGACAAAGTTCAATTGCCGAAGAAACTGAGGCCGGAAAAGATGAAGCTTGATAACAAGCTTGAATGGGATAGAGCTTTTATGCGAACCCGAAAATGGGGGAAGCTTGATACGAAGGTCGGTGAAATTGAGGCGAGATAAATGCAGGAGGAGATGAGCGGAGTCACAGGGGTGGACCGGTTCCGGTTCGGGCCTGGGCCCGGCCGGGCCTCGGTTCAGGAATGGGATGCCCGGAACCGGCCCGGGTAATCCCGGGTCCGGGCCGGGCCTCAGTTCTATTTTTTTTTTTGGCTTTTCCTAATTAACCCCCAACCCTCCCCCTTCACCCCCAAACCACCTCAAATGGCTCAAAATACCCAGTCCAACCCAAAAACTTAAAAAAAATTCAAAAAAAAAATTAATTTGGCCCGAACCGGCCAGGCCGGTTCACCAATCCTAGGGCCAGAGCCCGAACCGCTTTCCTACCGGGCCAGGCCGGCCCGAACCGCCCGCCGGACCGGTTCCCGAGCCGGGCCGGTTCCGGGCCGGGCGGCCCGGCCCGAGTCCATCCCTAAGCGGAGAAGGAAATGGGAATGGAGAAAATGGCACTAAAGAACAATTGAGATTTCTTGTTAGCAACGATTGGGATTTCATTAGCTGTAGGCGGGAACGCCGTTCAATGAGCAGTAAAAAATTGTTTTGCTTTTATGTATTAGATTAGATGTCTAGAAATTTCGGAGAAGTGTCTAAAAGTTTACAAATAATCTTCAAATATTCCATATTTAAAATTTGATACCAATTTTTTTTAACAAATAATCTCTTTAAATAATCTCAACATCTCAACCATAATCTCATAAAATATCATCCACATCATCAAAATAATCCTTAAATGTGGATGCCCTGACAGAATCAGGATAGGGGAATCAAAGTCCCGATCTCAAGACCAAACCGGTACATGCCAGTTTTTCACCAAGGCTGAAAATTAAAGTTTGTGACTAGGAACGAGACCGGAATTGCAAAAAAAGGGTCCTACTCACATACCACACTCCAGTTCCTTTTCTCAAAACCATCGAGAATCAAATAAAAAAGGAAAAATTGACAAGAATAATCCTACATTTCATTGGTGTTCTCATAATAATCCTACATTTTCATAATCCAAGAATAACTTCACCTTTACACCACATCTTCTTTCATTGGACCCTAACATATTGATGACCTACTATACCAATTTTTTTTTACCTTTTCTTTGAAAATCATATAAATAATTTCACTTTTCACTTTTTTATTATATTTTTTTTAAATGTGGGATTATTTATACAAGATTTTGGATAAAAAACCTAGTATAGTTGATCATCAACAGATCAGAGTCTAATGAAAGAAGATGAGGTGCAAAGGTATGAGATATTATGGTTGAGATTATGGAATTATTCTGGAATTATGTAAGAGATATGAGATATTACCCAAAATTGGACTAAAAAAGTTTGAAAATTCCAAAATAGGACTTTCATGTTTTTATTCCCAAAATAGGACTAATTACTGCCATGTTTTGGCAGTACCAGACTTCAAACATGGCAGTATTTTTCAAATTTGGCAGTAATTAGTCCTATTTTGGGAATAAAAACATGACAGTCCTATTTTGGAATTTTCGAACTTTTTTAGTCCCATTTCGGGAACTCTCCCATTATGTAAAGGTGGGTTATTATGAGAAAATACAAAAATGAGATTATTCTTATCAATTTTTCCAATAAAAAAGGTGGGGATCAATTTAAAAGCCTAAAAAATACCGAGTACAAAAACTGGGACAGAATCGGTGGGGTGGGGGGGCAATTCAAATTTGCTATTGTTACACAAAATTTATACACACACGTACACGGTATAAATAGCCCCCCAAAAATTACCCCACTTCCCTCACTTCAGCCAATTAAAAAAAAACACTCCCCCTCCTGTTTCGCGCATCCATCCTTCTCCCTTCCCTCCAACCTCTCTGCCGATTAATCCCCCCTCAACGAAGGCAAACTGGTCGGCACCTACCCTCGACAAAGCCAGCAAAATCGACGCCAACCGTCGACGAACCGAACCTCGTCGCCGCGAACTCGTCCCCGCCAACCCTAGTCGAAGGCATCCCTCCTCCCGGTTCCCGCCAACCTCCGTCGAAGGCGAGCGTGGTCGCTGGGCACTCCAAGTTGCGAACCTTCCTCCCTGTCTCAGTCAAAAATGGGGCGAACCCCGCTATTGACCATGGCAGAAAGGTATGTAACCTCAATTTTTTTTTTTTTTTACAATTTTAGGCTATTTGATGATATTAATTTGGAGGGTGAAGCAAAATATCTCTGTTTATGAAGTTTTGGAACTCATCTATTGTTTGGATTTTGAACAATATACATTGTCCGTGTAAGGTTGATTTTATGCCTGTTGAAGAACATATGTATTGTCTGTGTGAAGATCGATTTGTGTAAGTATTTGTCTGTGTGAAGTTATATGTAAAAGGATGTGCCTTCATTTGTCTGTGAAGACTTATATGGTTGTCTATATGGCTCTGTATTTGCCTGTGGGGACTTTATTTTGCCTGAATGCAAAACAATAAGACAGTTCTAAAGTATAACTCTTGTGTAAAATTTTCACTGTTCTTAAATTTGATGTGCCAATTAATCCCCCATAAATTTCTTACTCTTTTTCACTTAATTGAGTTCTACTAATATTTCTAAACAAGGACTAGTAGAAACTACTTGAACAAGGACTAATAAATTACCAAATTTGGAACAATGCTCAATTTGAAGCAAGGAAACATATTCTTATATTGTATGTAATTGATGAATACATAAAGAATGTAAGCAGATTCAATTGCCGTGTGATTATATATAGAATCTTAGATTCGTAAGCAAATAACCAATATGTTTACTTTAGACTTCAGAGAATGTTAGAACTAGCAGATTTGAGGTGAGGGAAAGACTATATATAAAATATATTTTAGAGAATAATCCGTTAATGATCTCTTACACACACCCTCATAAAATAAAGGAAAAAATTCTACTACATATTACATAACGTTTTCATGGACTTCGGGTGCCTTAATTTTCCAAATTAGTTGAAATACCTTGGCTAAATGATTTATAAGTCTTATGGTTAACTTTTTCATGATTTATAATTTTCCAAGTTCCTTAAAATACCTTATGGCTAACTGATTTCCAAATTCTTAAAGTATGACTTATGAAGTTATGAATCATGAAGTAATGACAAATAAAGTTATGAACTTGAGTGTCCATTTCATGAAGTTTAACTGATTTTTACTGTTTTTAGAAGATGAAATAAGCCTTATGTTAACGATAAACACAACTACTCCTATTATATGTAGTGTACTTAAGTTTTACTCATTTTGAATCAATTTTCAAATGTTTTCTACTTTTATGGTTAACAATCCATTTGTGTCCAATTTTGTTGTTCATGTATGCAAAAGTCATCCTTTGTATACTATAGTGCTATACCAGTAAACTACTGAAAGAAGGATGCCTATTGAAAGAATACCAGTTAATATAGTGGTATAAAAATTGTAGTTGAATTTTAAATACACCGATTAGAGTAAATACATCTAAAGTAAAAAGTATACATTAAGTCTTGATAATTAACTAAATGCACCGACTAGAGTACAAAGTAAAAATCTGCACTTTTGAATTCTTGGGTTGGAGTAAAAATCTGCACTTTTGAATTCTTGGGTGGGAGTAAAAATCTGCACTTGTGAATTAGTTAATTTTCCAAATAGTAGTCATAGTAGTTATAAAAATAGTAGTTCTAAACTGCTATACTAATTAATGCAAAACCATCATACCGGTTATATTTGACCATAATATAGTGTCTTATTGATGTTTAATAATGTCATAATATAGCAAATTGATTTCAAGAAGTATGTGATCTATTCATATTACAAAACAAAGTGCAGTAATACTATTGAGGGAAACACATTGTTTTTATTCACACCATTATATTATAAGATGTTAACATCACAACATGCTCCTGCTTATTTATAAGATGTTAAGATCACACCAGTTAGTTCGTACACATTTATACCAGATTGTTTATACCAATTAATTTAACTATTTTAGAATAACAATTATTTGAGTAATTTATTTTATGTCCAGATTGGTGTTTGCGGCGTCATGGTGATGGCCTGAGTGTGCATATAAGACCATGGCAGATGAAAGATGTGAATTTGCAATGAGGCTGTGGGCTTTGAGGAAGCGATCGACCTAGACAAGTTTGGGTGTGCATATTTAGTGTTTTGGTTGTAAAACAATGATGTAACCTTGCTATATACTGATTTTTTGGTGGTACATTTATTGCCTGAATGTTGAAAGTTAAATGTGGACTTTGGTTGTTAAATGTAGGAGGTTGTACAATGTTTTACTATCAATGTTGTACAATGTCCTAGAATGTACTCCCAAATATTACCTAAATTGATATGCCTATTTGTTTTTGTGGCAAACACTTAATGTTTTTGGCGTTAATATATATAGAGGATGACTTTGCCTGTGAAGAAGAAAAACCGTGTCTGTGCTGTAATATGACTTTGTCTGTGATTTGTGTCGTAGTTGTCGGTGTTATGTATCTACTCTTACATCCACTTCAAATATTGTTAATTACTACTTTTTGTAATTAAGTAGTTCTAATTTATATTACTTTGATCACCACTAGAGCCCATGTGTAATTTGGAGGTGATGGAAAAAATTTCATACGTTAATCAAATTTTTTGAATCAAAGTAGAATATTACAACTGAAAATTTATATCTGCCCAGAAACATGTCTTGTGTTTGTGAAGACCAAAGAGTATGTGTTTGTGTCCTAATACATAAATG